GCTGCGGGGATGGGATCGGAGCTGCGGGGATGGGCTCGGGGCTGCGGGGATGGGCTCGGGGCTGCGGGGATGGAACCCGAGCCGCGGGGATGGGTCCGAGCCGCGGGGATGGCTCCAGCCCTGCTCCTGTCCCCGTGATCCCTCATTTTGGGATGCCCACCCCTGCCGTGGGCACTGGGGTCACAGTGGGACAGTGGCTGAGCCCCCCAGGCACTGCCAAGCCTGTGGGCACAGAAACCACCCGGCTCTGCAAGGCCCAGGAGAGGAACCCACCCAGGGCCGTGGAGTGGGCAGTGGAGAGAGTGGACAATGAAGAAAGGTGGGCAGTGGAGAGGGTGGACAATGGGAAAGGACGGACAATCGGACAATGGAGAGGGTGGGCAGTGGAGAATCTGCCACGTGCTGGAGATGGAGCCAAGAGGATCTTGGCTGGAGAGCCCCAGGGGTAGGGACAGCCAGGTCGGTGTCACCCCTTATCCGTGTCCCACACCGGCCTGGCCCAACCCAGCCCCAGTCCCAGCCTCAGCCCCAATTCCCAGCCCCAGCCCAGCCCTAATCCCAGCCCAAATTCTAGCCCAGCCCCAATTCCAGCCCAGCCCTAATCCCAGCCCCAATTCCCAGCCCAGCCCCAATTCCCAGCCCAGCCCCAATTCCCAGCCCCAATCCCAGCCCAGCCCAGCCCCAGCTCAGGCCCAGTCCCAGATCCAGCCTGGCCCAATCCCAGCCCCAATCCCAGCCCCAATTCCCAGCCCAACCCCAATTCCCAGCCCCAGTCCCAGCCCAGCCCAGCCGCAGCAGCCGCGGCTCTCCGGGCTGGAGCCTGCTGCTCAATTATTGATGGCCAGCTCTGGCTGATGGAGCTGGGGCTCTCTGAGCCTCTCCCTAATGGAGCTGCAGCCGTGCCTGCCCAGCCGGCACTCCTGGGCCGCCCAATTCCCACTGCTGCCATCCCCGTGCCAGGGCAGTGCCACCTCCTGCCGCTAACGAGGCGCGACGCAGCCTCTGCCGGGGCTCGGAGCTGCAGAGAGCAGAGCTGGGCTGGGCCAGGGCAGGGCTGCTCCGTCGGGCAGTGGCACACGCTGGCACCTGCCGGGATGGTGATGGAGCAGCCACAGCCCAGCTGAGATCAGCCCGGGGGGAGCAGGGCACAGCTGGCACAGCTGGGGCACCGCACGGGCTGCACAGAGCCCAGCTGAGATCAGCCCAGGGGAGCAGGGCACAGCTGGCACAGCTGGCACAGCTGGGGCACCGCATGGGCTGCACAGAGCCCAGCTGAGATCAGCCCAGGGGGAGCAGGGCACAGCTGGCACAGCTGGGGCACCGCACGGGCTGCACAGAGCCCAGCTCTAGGCAGAGGAGGACAGGGGGTGGCAGGGACAGCGGGGCTGTGCCAGCCCCGGCTCAGGGAGCAGGGTGGGCTCCGTGCCTGCAGGGCCATCAGCCGGGATCTGAGCGCAGCCCGGCCTTCCCCAGCTGCGGGAGAGCCGCCGCTGCCTCCCCGCACTCCATCAGGCAAGAATTGGCAATAATCCACAGGCAATTATCGCCCTAATGGGCTCTTGGGTCACCTGGCTGTGCACGCCGCTGGGCACGGCCTCGGGTGACCCCTGCCAGGCAGGGGCTGGGGGCTCTGGGCTGCCCTGGCCGAGCAGTGCCACCCCATGGGAAATGCTCTCCTGGCCTCCCTGGCTGTCCCCCTGCCCGTGCCCGGCCCTGGCACAGCAGCAGACGCCCCCAGCCCCTCCCAGCGCTGCAGCTCTGCCAGTGCCCACTGCCCTCCCAAATATCTCCGGGGCTGCAGCCGCCCTGTGCCCCCTCCCACAGAGGGGCTGCTGCCCTGGCACCCTGCAGGCTGCCCAGGCAGATAATAATAATAGGGTTTATTATTAAACAATGGGGCAGGGACACGTCATGACCAGGTCAGCATTTCTTATGAAACAGGGTTTCCATTCCAGTGCGGTGTCTCAGACACTTTTCACACAGGGCCGGGGTCACGGCACCCCAGGCTTGGGTGGGGACACTGGCACAGGGCTGGGGGAGTGCAGGAACATCACAGCGAGCAGCAGGGCAGCAGGGCAGTGTCCCCAGCTGTGACCCCAGGCATGGCAGGGGACACCAGCAGCTCCCCTCCCCACACTGCTCCCCCTCCCCAGCCCCACGCTGTCCTGATTTGGTGCCCTGAAAAGCCCTGCCCGGTCCCAAAGCCACCTTGATGGCACTGCTGACCCCGTTTGTGCCTCCCTCAGGAGCATAGGAACCCTGGGCCAGCCCTGTGCCCCACTGCCACCTCCCATGGGGGACAGCCAGGGACGTCCTGCTCACCCTGGGGTGACAGTGGGAGATGTCCTGCTGGGGCTGCCTGTGGGGTGGGGTGAGCTGGGCTCCCCTCCCACCCCATGGCGCTGCAGGCAGGCTGGCAGAGGGCAGGGTGAGCTCGGCAGGGCCAGAATCACTCTCGCCATCCTCTGGTCTGCCTGTCCTCATGCCCGGCAGCCGCAGGCTCTGGATTCTTCATCCCAGGATGGAAGCTGTGAGTTTCTGCTCCAGGCTGGCTGCATCTCCATGATCCCGATGCCCTGGGAGCTCGGGGACCTCCAGAGCCCCACAGCCTGGACCCCCAGAGCCCCTGGCTGTGCCCGGTGCCACCCAGAGCTGGGCAGGAGCAGCACGGCCCTGCAGGTGCTGTCCCAGCAGGATCCCTCCACAGACACCCTGCAGGAAGCCACCAGCAGGCTCTGGCTGGCCGTATCTTAACCAGAAGGGACAGAAAATGCCACCAGCGACACTTCGAGCAGCTGGAGACCCTCAGGAAGGTCTGAGAGCCCGCTCAGTCCCCGGCCAGATGAGAGAGCTCCACCCGGAGCCGCTCCTGGGCGTTCTCCAGGAGCCCTCGGAGAGCGGCTCCAGCCCGGCTGTGTCCCGGCAGCAGCGCCGCCCCCGCGGGGTCCCGGCGGGGCTACCCGTCCCTCCTGACCAGCAGCAGCCAGGGCAGCACGGCCGCCAGCAGGGCCACGGTGAGGACGAGCATCACGGCCAGGGCCATGGGGGACTGGCAGCACCGCAGCCCCAGCGCCGCCTCCTCGCCGCCGCTCCCGGGCAGCGAGCCGCGCTCCGCGGCCACGGGCGGCGCGCCGCGCTCGCCGATGATGAAGATGTGCGCTTCGCGGGCCAGCGGCCCCGCCGGGCACCGCTCCGGGCTCTGCAGCGGCACCACGAAGCGGCTGGGCACCAGCAGCGCCTTGCTGGCCTCGCCCTTGGCCAGCTGCGACAGGGAGGACGGCGCCAGAGGCACCGGGCCGGCGCCCTCGGGCGGCCACGGAGCCTTCTTCTCGCTGAGGAAGGTGACGAAGCGGCACACGGGGCACACGATGCTGCTCTGGACGCGCCCGTCCAGCTTGGCCGACAGCAGGCACTTCACCAGGCAGTCGTGGCAGAAGGTGTGGCCGCAGCTGAGCCGCCGGTGCGTGGCCTCCAGGGGCTGGAACTTCTCGTAGCACACGGGGCACTCGGCCGGGGCGGCCTCCTTGCCGGGGCAGGGCTCGGACATCGCTGCTGCGCTGGGAGAGGCACCAGGGCTTAATCAGGCACCGTCCGTCTCCTCCTCGCTGCTCTCTCGGCACTGCCCTTCGCCCTCTCAGCGTGGCATGGGTGCCTGGCACGGCTCAGCCCGGCTCAGCCTCCCCGCGCTGCCCCTGGGCAGGGATGGTGGGAGGCTCTCGGCTCCAGAGCCCTGCGGGGCAAAAATCCCTGGCTGCCAGAGCACAGGGGCAGCGGGCTGAGCCCCTGCACAGAGCCGTGCCTGAGGGATTCGTGGTACAGAAATTCCAGGCCCAGGCTGTGCCATTCCTGGTACAGAAATTCCAGGCTCAGGCTGTGCCATTCCTGGTACAGAAATTCCAGGCTCAGGCTGTGCCATTCCAGGCTCAGGCTGTGCCATTCCTGGTACAGAAATTTCAGGCTGAGGCTGTGCCATTCCTGGTACAGAAATTTCAGGCTGAGGCTGTGCCCTGCATCTCCCCAGGCACGAAGGGAGAGGGCAGAGAGGAGGAGGGAGAGGGCAGAGAGGAGGAGGGAGAGGGCAGAGAGGAGGAGGGAAAGGGCAGAGAGGAGGAGGGAGAGGGCAGAGAGGAGGAGGGAAAGGGCAGAGAGGAGGAGGGAGAGGGCAGATGTCTGGTTTAGCCCTCCCAGAGCAGCTCTGGAGCCAGACCTGCATGAAGCTGCAGGTTTTTCCAGACCTGGTGGTGTTTCCACACCCCGCCCAGCCTGCAGCCCTTTTCTCACGCAGGACTGTGCCGTGGGCACCCTCCCAGCCCATCTGGGGTGCTGCCATCCTCCTGCAGGGCTGTCGCCGCTGCCCCGGGCACCGGGAGCCCCCTCCCCAGGCAGGGAACAGCCCCGGGCTCCTGCCCTGGCTCGGGAGGGATCAGGGACGGCTGCTCCCTCCCTCACCCCAAAATCCCCTTACCTGTGGGGCCCCAGGACAGCGGCCCCTCCATGCAGGGCTGTCCCCAGGCACGGGGCTGGCCCGGGAGAGCTCGGGGACAGCCCGGGGACAGCCGGGGCGGCCGCGGCTGAGCCGGGCGCGTTGCGCAAAGGCTGAGCGGGGCCAGGGCAGGGCCGGGCCGGGCCGGTCCCGCGGAGTGAATGCGGAGGAACCCGTCCGCCTTTAAAGGCTCCCGCCGGGCCAGGGAGGGGGCGAGAGCTGCGTCAGGCGTGGGGAGGGACTCGGGCACGGTCCTGCCTGCCCGGGTCACTGCAGAGCCCGGCACTGAAAGGGTGCCCGGAGCCGGCGGGGCGGCGCGGGGCTAGCTGCACATCCTGCATGGGTGCTGCACATCCTGCACGGGTGCTGCACATCCTGCATGGGTGCTGCACATCCTGCACATCCCGCACGGGTGCTGCACATCCTGCACATCCTGCACGGGTCCTGCACGGGTCCTGCACATCCTGCACATCCCGCACGGGTCCTGCACATCCTGCACGGGTGCTGCACATCCTGCACGGGTGCTGCACATCCTGCACGGGTGCTGCACGGGTGCTGCAGCAGGGCTGGACTACTCACCCCCGCTGCCCGTCCCTCACCTGCCCTCATCTTCCTCACCCCATCACTGCCCATCTCTCACCCTGCCCTCATCTTCCTCACCCCATCACTGCCCATCTCTCACCCTGCCTTCATCTTCCTCACCCCATCACTGCCCATCTCTCACCTGCTCTCATCTTCCTCACCCCATCACTGCCCGTTCCTCTGCCTGCCCTCCTCACCCCCATCACTGCCCCCCTGCAGTCCCACCGGAGCCCCGGGTGACACTGAAGGGCCTAGCAAAGCCCCCCGAGTAGCCACGGGGGGCTCTGCTCTTGTGTCCCTGCCCGGGGGGCTTCCAGCCCCTCCCCAAACCGAGCTCCAGGCGCAGCAGGAGCTCCACGGGCTCAGGGCGAGCAGCAGCCCCTCCTTGGCCACCCCAGCACCTGCGGGTGGCACCTCTGGCCACGGGCAGGTGGAACCTCCCAGAGAAGGTTCCTGTCACCCCACCCGTCCCCGAGTGCCACCTGTGCCTCGGCTGCCCAGGAGGGCTCTTCCCTGCACAGCCCTGTGAAAGCTGCCCCAGCCCAGCACTTTGGAGCCCCCCTGGCACCCCCAGCCCACCTTTCATCTTGCAGGGACCTGGACGCTGTTTGCCACACCGAGGAGGCCCTGGCATGCACACAGCGGCCCCAGGGCATTCAGGAAGGTGCCAGGGCTCTGTGGGGCAGAGGGCAGGGGCTGACCCTGGCACCCAGAGCCCGGTGAGAAAGGCGGGCAGTGCCTCCGTGGGCCGGGCAGGCTCGGGCAGGGCCGGGCGTGGGCAGCAGTATCAGTCACCGTGGGCGCAGGGCGCACGTGGAAGTGTGGGTGCAGCCCCACAGGGCACCCCGGGGCCCTCAGGGGTGCCTCGCCAGCCCTGGGCCCTGTCCCTGCCTGCAAGGGCACCCTGAGCACAGCAGCACCTTCCTCACCTCCCAGGCTCGGGGTTGGGCTGCTCCACTCCCCATCCCAGTTCTCCTATCCCAGTTCTCCTTATCCCAGTTCTTATCCCAGTTCTCCTATCCCAGTTCTCCCTATCCCAGTTCTCCCTATCCCAGTTCTCCTATCCCAGTTCTTATCCCAGTTCTCCTATCCCAGTTCTCCCTATCCCAGTTCTCCCTATCCCAGTTCTGTGGAGAGCATCAGAAAGTGAAGGTGAAACCTCTCCAGGGAGGTTTTGCAAGGACTGAGCTTGCACCTTCCCTCCTGGGACAGACAGACATCCCCTTCTCCGTCCCGGCATAGACAGACAGACATCCCCATCCCCTCCTCCCTCCTGGGACAGACAGACAGACATCTCCATCCCTACTCCCTCTGGCAGTTGCTCGCACACACACAGATTTGGGGCAGATTTGGGGCAGGTTTGGGGCAGGTTTGGGGCGGGTTTGGGGCAGATTTGGGGCAGGTGTGGGGACAGTTTGAGGCCGGTTTGGGGCGGGTTTGGGGCGGTGAGCACTCCCCAGCCCCAGTTTCCCCCTGCTGGCCCGGCTGGGTGGCAATTCCCGTTTCCCATAGCTTGGATGCTCCCCAGCATGAGCTCACGGCTCTGGGCACTGGAGAAACGAGTCTGCCTCCCTGGCAGCCTGGACCACGCCACAGCCCCGGGGCTTTGGGCACCTGGAGCCCTGCCAGCCGCCTCCCTGTCCCCAGGCCGGCCCTGCTCTGCTCCCTCCAGCAGCAGAAACCTCCTGAGGGACAGGGCTGAGCCTGGCAGCGCCTGAAGGACGAGGAACCAAGAGCAGAGCGAGTCCCTGAGCCCTGCCTGGGTGTCCTTTGGGTTTGAACAAGCCCAGCTCGTGGCCAGTGCTTCAGCCCCCAGAGCAAGGCTCCAGCACCCTTGGGTGCAAGCAGGAAGGGGGCTCCAGGCTCAGCTCCTCTCCACACACCACAATTAGAATTTCCTGCGCTGAGCTCGTGGCTGCCGGGGACCAAAGGACATTTCTGACCCAGAGGAGGACGCAGCCCTCGCCGAAGGGTGGCCGAGGTCCCTCTCCTGCAGCCCCAGCAGTGCCTGGGAAGAGCTTTGCAGCCTCTGGCAAGGGCAGGAGGGTGCAGAGGCAGCCCCGGGGCTCCACAGCAGCACCTGAACTTTCCCCTGGCTGGGTGCAGAGGAGGACAGTGAGTTATGGGAAAGTGTTTATTTTCAAAGCACATTTAAAGCCCCAAGATTGCTCCACGTCTGAGCCAGGAGTTATGACAGGGCTCGGTATCTCCATCAAATCCACGCTGCAATTCCCTGGGTCCTGAATGAGGAGCCAGGGACATTTCAGTGTCCCCCATCCCTGCACTCAGCTGGGGCTGGGCTCCTGGAAGAAACCCCAGGTGGAATTCTGGCGGCTGGGCTGGGCTGGGTGCAATCCCTGCCTTGGGAATTGTGTAAATGAGTGATCCCCAAAAGCTGCTGAGGGCTCCCCTGCCCTCCTGTCCCAGAGCCAAAAATGCTCCATGCGAGGGTGGCTGCTGTCCCTGTCCCGTGTCCCCGTGTGGGCAGGGCTGCTCGCAGAGGGGAGGGCAGGCTGCCCCTCCTCTCTCTCCTCCATCCTTCCCCCACCACGCCTTTCCCATCCCTCTGGGGGTGCCTGCTGCCTGCCCCATCCCTCCCAGCTCACAGCCAGTCCTCCCAAACCCCCCAGCCTTTCCCCTGGCCGTGTTCAAGCTGCAAAGCTGAGGTTTCACAGGAGTTTCTGCTCGACTCATTCTCCTCCCACCCGTCCCAGCCCCAGCTGGGAATGCGGTGAAGGCAGGAAAGAGTAAATCCATGTTTGAGCCCAGCCCAGGGGGAAATTCCCAGCTAAAGAAGAAGTTCTGTGAAGCAAAATTAATTTTCCAGGGCTGCACTGTGCTGGTGGAAGGCCCAAGAGTTCTGGGCCCTGGGTTCTATCCACTTCCATGCTGTCAAAATAAACTCAAACAGCTGGAAAAGCTGGACAACTTCAGGGGAATCCGAGCTTTTCAAAAGGAGCACAAGCTCACCCATCTTCCCCCACTCTTGCTTTGCTTGAATTCGAGTGGGGAAATCAGCGTTTTTTTCCTGCTGGGGGTGTCCATTCTGCTCCTCAGGCACCCGGCAGGATGGAGCCCACCAGGAGGACCCCCCTGCAGCCCAGGCAGCCCAAAATGCGCAGGGAGAGCTCCGGCTCAGCTTCTCCTGCGGGGGTTCCGCCGTGCCCAGGAGATGGTGCTCTCGGACGGGCTCTGGCACCGGGGAGCCGAGCAGGGAGCGCTGGAGGGTGCCCAGGTGAGGGGGACAGTCCCCAGCAGCCGCCCCTGCCACCGGCATCGAGGGGACCTGCTCTTCCTCCATGGGGCGAATGCTTATCCCACACAAGGAACAGCTGGCTGTGACCACAAACAGCTGGCTGTGCCCCCAAACAGCTGCCTGTGCCCCCAAACAGCTGCCTGTGACCCAAACCCTGATGTAACCCCAAACAGCCCGGGGGTCCTGCCCAGCCCCAGACCCTGCAGCCCCTCCCCGGGGTCGGGATGGGGGGCAGCAGATCGAGGGGGAGCACGGCCCGATTGTCCCCTTGCTTGTCACCGTGCCCCGGTGCCCACCCAGCCCCGGTGGGACTCACAGCAGCCCGAGGAGAGCCTGGCACTGCCCCTGTGACCCTGGCAGGCCAGCGCTGCCACCCCAGGGACGCGGTGTCCCGGTGTCCCCAGGCACTGCCCGCCTCCCCCTGGCTGCCCTCCCGCCAGGCAGCTCCCTCCAGCCTCCTGCCAGCAGGGAAGGTGTAGAAACCCCACAGTTCCAGCAGAAAACCCACTGGGATTGGGGTTTGGAGCCTTTTGCCCAAGCGGGATGCTCCCCGTGGCTGCCCAGGGGTGTCAAGGTTTGGGTTTTTCCTTCCAGCCCGGCTCCTGCAGGGCTGGGATTGCAGAGATGCTCCTGCCTCTAACGGGAACACGCGCAGGGCAGCTTCTCAGCCCCCAGCAGCACAGAAAGAAAAGCTCAATAATACCGAATACCCAACATTTAATGGTATTTCCAATCATCTGAAAACACAGTGCTGTGAGTGCAGAGTTTGCGGGCAGAGCTGCTGCAGCCCCTCCAGGGTCACTCCGCTGCCAGCCCAGGTGGGTTCTGGGCAGGAGGATGCTCAGCACAGGGTGGCAGAGGGCAGGAGGGCTCTGTCCCACGGGCTCCGCTCTGCATTTGGCTGCCTGCAGTCAGAATAAGGGAAGGATATTTATATTTCTATTAATAGAAATAAGGAAAATATATTTGTATATATTTATATTTATATATTGAGTCTGCAGTCAAAATAAGGGAAGAATATATTTCTATTTCTATTTCTATTTCTATTTCTATTTCTATTTCTATTTCTAGTTCTAGTTCTAGCTTTAGTTCTAGTTCTAGTTCTAGTTCTAGTTATATAGTTGTAGTTATAGTTATAGTTTAGTTATAGTTATAGTTACAGTTATTTATGATTGTATTTATATTTATTTATAGTTTTATGTTTATAGTTCTATTTATATTTATCCTGCAGTCAAAATAAGGGACATCAGGAAGGATTTCTGCCCTGGGAGGGTGGTCAGGGATTGGAGCAGGAGGCTCAGGGAAGCGGTGGCACCACCACCCCTGCAGGTGCCCGAGGAACACCTGGAGGTGGCACTCAGTGCTCTGGGCTGGTGAGGAGGTGCGGCTTGGGCACAGTTTGGATTCCACGGCCTTGGACAACCCTCCGAGACGGAGATTAACGAGCAAATCGCCCCTCTTCCCCGAACAGCAGCCCCAGCGCCGATTTCCCCCTGCCCGACCTTCCCAGCCGCCTCTCCTCGCTCATCCCCAGCTGCAGCCGCATCTTGAGGGGCCGCACGAGTGGATCCGCAATTCCCAGCCCATAAGCCCTGCCCGGAGCCCCTCACCCGCCCTGTCTGCCCCCTGGGTCTCCGCAGCAGTGCCCGCAAACCTTCCCTGGCCCCCACGCACTGCGGGCCGCCCGCAGCTCCTCCCGCATCCTTTTTGGCCGCAGCCCGCGTCTCCCGGGGGTCGCTCGGGGCGGGTTTGGGGGGGCGGCCGGCGGAGGCTGCGGCAGGAGCCGCTTTGTGCGGCCGCTAATGCTGAGCGACGGCTCCTTTGTGCTGCCCGCAGCGCCCGGCCCGCGGCGGCCGCGTGGGAACAGCCCCGCACACAAAGGGACAGCGGGGCCACCTCCGAGCGAGCATCCCCCAGAGCGCTGTTAACCGGGCAGGCAGCCCGCACCCCGGGGAACGCCTCCCGCAGCCCGGGGAACGCATCCCGCACCCCTGGGAACGGAGCCCGCACCCCTGGGAATGCATCCCGCACCCCGGGGAACGCCTCCCGCACCCCTGGGAATGCATCCCGCACTGCTGGGAGCGCCTCCCGCACCCCTGGGAATGCATCCCGCACCCCGGGGAACGCATCCCGCACCCCTGGGAACGCATCCCGCACCCCTGGGAATGCATCCCGCACTGCTGGGAGCGCATCCCGCACCCCTGGGAATGCATCCCGCACCCCGGGGAACGCATCCCGCACCCCTGGGAACGCATCCCGCACCCCTGGGAACGCATCCCGCACCCCTGGGAACGCATCCCGCACCCCTGGGAATGCATCCCGCACCCCGGGGAACGCATCCCGCACCCCTGGGAACGCATCCCGCACCCCTGGGAACGCAGCCCACACCGCTGGGAACGCATCCCGCACCCCTGGGAACGCATCCCGCACCCCTGGGAACGCATCCCGCACCCCTGGGAACGCATCCCGCACCCCTGGGAACGCAGCCCACACCGCTGGGAGCGCATCCCGCACCTCCCGCACCCCGGGGAGCGCAGCCCCGCCTGGGCCCGGCCGCTGCCCGCCGCCGGCTGCCGGAGGAGGCTCCGAGGCAGAGCGGCGCTCCCGGGGGAAACAGGCGCGAGGAGCGCGGGCTGGGGGATGGAGTCCGGGACCCCGAGGGATGGATGTCCGGGGACCCCGAGGGATGGATGTCCGGGACCCCGAGGGGTGGAGTCCGGGACCCCGAGGGATGGGAGTCCGGGACCCCGAGGGATGGATGTCCGGGATCCCCAGGGATGGAGTCCGGGACCCCGAGGGATGGATGTCCGGGGACCCCGAGGGATGGAGTCCGGGATCCCCAGGGATGGATGTCCGGGACCCCGAGGGATGGAGTCCAGGACCCCGAGGGATGGAGTCCTGGACCCCGAGGGATGGAGTCCGGGATCCCCAGGGATGGATGTCCGGGACCCCGAGGAGTGGAGTCCGGGATCCCGAGGGATGGATGTCCGGGACCCCGAGGGATGGATGTCCGGGACCCCGAGGCAGGGCCCGTGTCCATGCCCGTGCCTGGTGTGCCCCCGCCGGGGTCACCGGGGACAGAGCGGCAGAGAACGGGCAGGGGGCAGTTCCCGAAGGCTGCAAAGGAGGAGGGCGGGACCACCTCACCCCGGGGGCGGCCGGCGGGGTGGGGGCGAGCACGGGGGGATCCCCTCGCCGTGCGAAACGGGGACCGGCACCGGCACCGGGCACCGGAACCGAGACCGAGACCGAGACCGGGCAGGGGCAGCGGGCAGCGGGCACCGGCACCGGGCACCGAGACCGAGCATCGGCCACCGGCGCTGGCCACCGGGCACCGGCACCGGGCACCATCCAGGCCCCGCCCGGTGTGACGCCGGTGCCCCCGCCCCCGCCGGCTCTTGCATCACGCGCCGGCCTCGCCCCCCAGTCCCCGGATGAGGCGGCCCCGGCGGGCGCGCGCGGCGGCGGCTGTGGCAGGGGATGCGCTGCGGTGAGCGGCGGGCCCGGGGCCGGGCGGGGGCACCGGGCGGGCCCGGCCAGCGGGGCCCGGCGCGGCGGGCGGGGGGCGCGGGCCGGGCGGGCGGCGGGCCGGGGGCGCCGCCATTGGCTGCCAATTGACAACGGGGCACGGCCCGCCCCCGGCGCGCCATTGGCCGCGGCCGCGCCGCCGCCGCCTCCCATTGGCTGCGCGCGGTGTCAGTCACGGCGCGGCCCCGCTCGGCCGCCGCCCTGGCCCCTCCGCGCCGCCGGGAGCGGGGCCGGCCCGGCCGCACCGGGGCTCGGGGCCGCACCGGGGCCGCACCGGGGCTGCAGCGGGGCTCGGGGCCACACCGGGGCTGGGAGCTGCACCGTGGCTCGGGGCTGTCCCGGGGCTCGGGGCCGCACACCGGGGCTCGGGGCTGTCCCGGGGCTCGGGGCCGCTCCGGGGCTCGGGGGTGTCCCGGGCCCTGCCCGCCGCTCTGCCGGCCTCGCCCCCCGCCCGGGCGTTTTCCCGGCACTGGAGCTGGCCGCGTGGTCCGCCTCTGTTGCTGGATGCTCCGCCCGGGGCACAGCGTCTTTTCCGGGAGGAAATTCCTGCCGGAGCTGGTGCTGGGGTCGGGAGCGGGCAGGGAGGTGGCGGTGCAGTCGTCACCCCTGGATGTGACGGGCGGGCCGGGGGAGCTCGGTGCCCTGCTCGGGGACCGGGGCTGTTCGCTCCCAGCTGGGACCGCTGGCCTCCGGGTCCTGCCCTGCCCTGGCCCTCTGCGCTCCCGGGGGGTTTGTCAGGAATTCCGTCGGTAATTCCACCGGCAATTCAGTCGGTAATTCCGCGAGGGTTCCTCTCGGCGGTGCCTGCCCTCGCTGGGAGCCCTGTGCGCTGTGTCCGGGCGTGCCCAGCCCCAGCAGCCCGTGCCCGGTGAGCGTGACCCGAAT